TGTGATGTTTGTGTTAATGTTAAACAGAGGAGTTGCTAAATCAAACAAGCCAGCGTATGACCTCATCAAAGCAAACATGCAACACATCTGGTTCTGCAGTAAAAAAAGAAAAAAATATATTGTCAGATATAGAGTCTTTAATAAGGTCAGAGGAAATGTGAATGAAACTTCCAGAAAATTTCCCAGTGCTTGCCCTCTGGGTGATCTGAGGGGAAAAAAAAATCCACAATATGAGTCAGAGACAAAAAGTTCTCAGTTCTGCTGAATGACACACAAAAGACTCATGTGTTGTCCTTCATTCTGAAACTCTCTACTGTGGTTACAGGAAGGGTTTGTGTGTGCAGAACAATGTGATTATGGCAAATGTTTGGTGTTTTCCATTTATTAGTGTCTTGTTCTGTTTAAATAGTAGCTAGTAGTAAAAAGAAAGTCTCACTTTAGTTTTCCTTTTGATAATTCTCAATTCTCCAAATTACCCTCGGACTTCCCACTATGTGTCACAGTTGCCTCCCTTCCCATTTGGGGGGAGGATAAACACAACATATGGTGTGTGTCATCAGTGGAAACGATGGTAATCTTCCTCTTTGTATAAATGCATTACCTGGTCACATGTTCTTTCTAAATGTTTAGCAGAGCACTTAGTCATTCCAGCAACTAGAAGCCCAGACAAGATCCCGACGGTATGGAACCCTCCTGCAGACATATGTCAGGGTAATAACAAGTCTTACTATCTGAATATGAGTTTGTTGTCATTAAGGGTTACCAGTCAGAACCTTTTACCGGCAAACATACACAGAAATGGACTCAGTGTGCTGAAGTTCAAAAGAAAAGTGAAAACAACTTTAAGCACAAAGCAGGGAATCTCTCCTCCCTCTAAAAACTTTAACCTCCGGTCAGAGTTAAAGTAATCCACTACATACAGCATTACTTCTCTGAGAACAACTGTTAAAGAAGAAGGCCTTATTTTGCCATTGTTTTCCATTTGTCCAAGATACAGTGGGTTACTGGTTTGCAGGAAGACTCAGACATCGACCTCTACCTACAAGATGTAGCTCCTTCTGTGGTATCTGGAGGTTTCCCCCGTATATATGTATATATTTCTCCAGAACTTCTGATCAGGAAACATCCTGAATACCTTGCAGAGGAGCACAGCCTCTACTGACTGACCTGCGAGTGAACTCATCAGAAACCCTGCGTCAAAGATCAGAAACGGTTTCATTATCAGTAAATCTGGGTGAATCTTTATATTTCTTTCCTCTAATTGAACTAAAGCATTATTCCAGCTCTCATTCAAGAATCTTTCGGTGTGTGTATCATAAATGAATAAGTACTACTATTTTTGTTCATCTATAAAAAAAAAAATAACAGACGATTCAATACAAATCTTGAATTTGAATTTTGCATTTAAAGAACTATTTTGGGATTGATAGTTTAGCCTACTGATGGTCTGTAGGTGAAACATCACATAATTTGTATCAACAACAAAAAAGCTGAATAATAAGAATTTTTTAGGCTATCTCTAAAACAAAGTGGGACTATTTTATTGTTCAACACTAAAAGTGAACTAATTTGTCACTACAGATAGGTCCACTGGACTCACTCTCCCACTTCGACACATCAGAACTGAAGCAGGGGAAGTGAAAACCTCTGGTCCATCTGCCAGACTGGCTGGCCGGCTGCCCCATCACAGCAGCAGAGATTATCTAGGCTTAAGGCAAGGAACCAGTCGCCTGGCCTCCAGCCTGCTGGAGCAAACCAGAGGAAGCCCCAACCTGCAAACCCTGTGGCATCCCGCTCTACCTGCAGAGGTCCTCAACAACATTACCTATAGTCTCCAGCTGTCTCTGTCCTATATTAATCGAGGGATTTACTTAAGAGGGCATGCAGAGATATGATGTGACAGGTAGAAAAAAAAACAGGACAAAATATGAATAGCTGCGTTGGTCAAACATATTCCTTCAGTTCAGTTAACTTAAGAATCAAGAGCATCTGTGAAAGAGGGTGAGCGCAGCACCTTAGGGGAAGCAGGCTATTAGTTCTCAATGGGATGTGAGGCGAGAGGCGGCCAGGCAGGAGGCGGAGGCTGCTGCCCATCCTTGAATACAGTCAATGCAGGTCTCTGCTTCCTGCATTCACTTCCTGAACAAAGAGCCACAATGGTGTCCTTTGCTGTCTTGGGTGGCTGAGGCCGCTCCTGGCGATGCTCGGAGGGTAAGCGAGGATCGTGTGTGTGTGTGTGTGTGTGTGTGTGTGTGTGTGTGTGCGAGGAGTTAGCTGGCTCCAATGCCACACAGATAGCCTGCACGTGCCCAACCTGTGGCCTGCCACTGGACAAACAAAGAGATGATGTCATGCTCAGCCAATAACAAAAGAGTGTGGGTCTGTCAGTCCCGCCCTTCTCACCCGGCTGGTTCCAGCCTTATCCAGCTTTAGCATTAATCACAAGCCTTATCCTCTTTACTGGGGGTGGGGTGGTGGGGAATGGGTAATAACAAACCAGCCATGGGGCAACTGTAGACAGGGAGAGGAAACAAGCTGTAAAGGAATGGGTCAGTGTTGAGAGGCTGTAGGCTAAAGCTGAAAGAGACAGGCAGAGCTGTCATGCGACTGAAAGTGAGAGAAAGGAGGAAGCATGGCTCCGTGGGGTGCCACAGTGTGACATCTGCCGAGCACACGGCCTCACACAGAGATGAACCCAGCAGACTCGAGCTGGCAACACAGAAATGAAACTTAAACTGACTGAATTCAAAACATATCCGACGTCATACCTCTGCAGCTGCAGAGAGTTTAACTCCTTCGGGGCTGGCTCTTTGTTGTTGCTTTCCCATGCATACTGCAGCTAGACATGCGTATTCGCAAGCCAAAGTAGCAAAATTATCAGACAAGAATCTGTTGGCGGAGATGAGTCAAACCCTCTGAGCTGCAGGATTTTCCGTCTGCCCTTCAGGGCAAAGACAAACCCTAATTGAGGCTGAAGCAGAACACAAGCAGCTGCAGAACCTCCAACCATTCTGGGTGAAATAACGTAAAAGATTTCGACTGTCTTCAAGTGAAGATTCTCTGTTGATTTTTCTTCATCTGTACATTTTGATGCCGCTGAGATTTTACACAGGACTTCTGATATGTTGCATAAACTCATAGTGGGTATGGCTATCTTAGACATTTGGGACTTTGAGGGACTCATTGAACTTTTTTCTGCGATGGAGTAAATATGCAAATAAATAACTTCAGTTACTTTTGAAAAAATTTAATTCATGGTGGATATTTTTCCTGACAAAACTCCACATGCAACCTTGAACACGTCTTGCTAAAGTTTGGATAAATATTTCTTAAGAAGTTGCAGAATAACCCACACTCCTTTTGACACCATCAGCAAGGCCAGGCTGATTGGGAGTGACAGGGAAGGTTAAAACAATTAACATTTCCACTAATGCTGTCTGACTATTTGACCTTTACTCAGTTAAACAGTCGAGCGTTCAAGCTGTGAATCAGACACAAGTCTGCCACAAATCTATGACACAAAGACACAATCTATGGACCGTGTCATGATTATGTTTTACGCAACCAAAGACAAATATTTCTGATCTGCTCCTGGCAACACCAGTGTAACACAACACAAACAACAACTGGACTTTATGTCATTCTGCGCCACACCTCCTAGCCTAGTTTACATCACCTGTTTAAACTATTGGGTGTAACGAGCTTAAATAGCTAAAAATAACACAAGGAACCAGGAAGAACACATTCTGAATTTGCCTTCAGCAGCTTGTTATCATGTTCACTTACTCATGTAAAGCTGCAGTGAGATCCCTGCAAACACAAATGATACGGAGAGACCAAACAAGTTTCCCAACCCTCCCCACCAAGACTTCCCCTCTCAAGCATCCTTGAGAGGAGCAGAGACTAAAAATACAAGAGTAGGCACACCACAGGTGGACAAGCCATGGAAAAAAAAAAAACTTTCATATTCAGAGGAAGAAGTCATGGAAAACAAGAGGATTTGATTTCAGGGACACCAATAAGCAATAAACATACAATAAGCCCATCTGACAAATATGGCGTTCCCACCAGCTCCCAACCCCAGGATGTGATGCAGGCTTGCAGAGAGGACTCAGATCCCGAGCCCTACTTTGATTCAAAAAGCCGGCAGAGCTGCTTTTCAGTAATTCTAGTTTAGCGACATTTCAAGAACTTCTAATTTAAAAAACCTTGCAGTTAGAGCAGATGCATACATTTGATGACAAGCACATCTTGACCTACAAACAGCACATTCCCCCTGCATGCTCTCTGCTTCTGTATATTTGAACTACATTGTTTTCAACATTGTTTATGTCCTAAAACTGGTTGCTACAACAAAAAAACAGAAAAAATCCAGTTGACATTGAATTCTCCAGGTCAATAAAGTGTTAACAAAGTTAGCTTTGCATAGTGATTCCACAAAATAGATGTTTTAATGCATAAGTGGGGATTGTAATTTCTTAATTTTTTTTCCACAGAAAAAGAATGTGCTGAAAGTTTCTTTAAGTTTTCATGTGTTATAGTCCTTTGAAGAAAAAATAACATCAATCAAAAATTAAAGAAAGACAAAAAAAAACTGAAATTTGGTATCTGCCTGGAAAAGGTTGATTGGTACATCTCTAAATTTGATTAACTTATAGTGGTTTAAATGAGACAAACATATTAGACTCACATATTACTGTGTTGAAATTTGACATTTTGTTTTACTTCTCAGTTATTAATAACTTTATAGGAAGTAAAAATGAGAAAATATTCCCCTTTAGTAAAAAACAACACAGATATATGTCAGCAGCACTATGTAGCTTCTCTAAATTGAGCAGGAAGCAGAGGGAAACCACATTTCTGGATCCATCCACCAGCATCTTTAAATTTCAGCTGCCTCGCCCTCATCTACATGCTTGAACTTGCCATGAATATCGTCAACTCATTTGCCAAGAAGGTTCCTGATCTGTGGCATCAGCTGCTGTGCAGCTTTAACTCACCTTCACTTTGCCATTGGGCTGCAGCAGCTCGGTGACGGAGACCTTGTCCTGCTGCAGTCGCCTCTTCACCAGCTTGGAGTAGCAGACATTGACCGCACCTTGCACGTGTGACGCGTTGTACTCAGAAAAGGTCCTGCTGTCGATCACCAGCAGGCGGCCCGTTCCTCTCTGAATGAGGCTCGCCAGGCGCTTGATGTCCATGGCGCTCCGCTTGTTGGGAGCTTTCTCCCCTGCCATGATTTAAGGAAGGGCTGAGTGGTTGTGAAGGGTAAGAAAGAAAGAATAAGAGGAAGAGGGGTAGGCTTAAGGGGGGAGATGGAGGAAAAGATGGGGAAAGGGAGAGATCAGTGGAGAGGGGCTACCACCAGAGCGAGCGCCAAGAGATCCATGGTGCCTACGAAAGAGAAGATAAAGATAAAATGTAATAAACATCAGTAATAAATGTTTATTCTGGAGGAATTACTGATGAACAGTCACAGTTAAAAGAAGCTAATCACCTGAGAATCATAAAAATTGCAGGTCAGTCCTCGTTTTGAACAGCTCCAAAGTGACAATGATGTCTCTTTTATGCATACATCTCAATGCCCATGGGGAAATTATAAACTATTTTTATAGACTTTGTATCATCTTTTATTAGCACACTTTGAGCCTCTCACTTATAAAAATAACCACAATGCTAAACATGAACACAAGTTATTTAAAGACTTTAACAGCCAACAGGATCACTTTTCAGTGCCGGGATATGAAGGAACATCTTGCTTCAAAATAATAAAAGAAAGAAGCCACAACCTTAATTTAGACTTTCACAACAATGAAACACAGGTGTGTGTTTATGTGTGTGTGAGAGTTTGGTGGCTGTTGATCCCAGATCTCCTCAGCAGCAGCTCATGAAACAGGAAACTGAGAGTGTGAGTTAAATAAAGCCGGGGGAATTCAGAGAGCAGGTCTGGACACAGGCAAACGACCTGTGTGACATCCTCTGATAGTGTGTGTGTGTGCGTGTGTTTGTGTGTGTCAGACAAACATCCATAAACTTGATGAACCGCCTCCTCCTATCCATCATGTCCAATCACTCCAAACTCCTCTCCGCTCACTCCCACCATCACACTCACCAATTTAACACGATACATGCAATCATTGATCATGTTTGCATTTGTGTGATTAACAGCGTGGAAACTAGTCTATGCTTTAGGGTCATGAGGAAACCAAAGTGCAATTTGTTTAGGTCAATAGTGGGATGAGAAAAACACTTAACACTTAGGATGATGTCTCCAGTCAACCAATGGTGGTGCGACAAGCGAGAGGCTCAGAATGTGAATGGTGCCGCGTTGTTTTATTTATCTACACGCACATGGTGTGATGAAAAATTGATGAGCTCAGTTTCATTTACCCCAAAGCCTAAATGGGGCTTTAAAAGAGAGAGCGGAGGAGACAAAGTTGTAGAAACAGATAAGGAATGGTAAGAAGATAAACACAAGCTCCTCGTTATTTAACTGAGGACTTTAGGAAAAAAACAACTTTACATCATGCTTTTAGTGATATAAGGAGACACAACTGGGAAGTGAGAAAGGAAAAAAAAAAACAAAGCAAACGGTTATGCCTTCTAATTGGCTACAACATATGAAGACATTCAGATAAACCTGCTCTGCAATCTTTAATATCTATTCAGGAGAAAAGAGAAAGGAAAAGATGCTACGCACTGAGAACGATCTCTAACAACCTCAGCATGCGTGAAAAAAGTGAAAAATTTGTTAAAGAGAAAACAGGAGAGTCTGAGTTAAAATATACTGAAAATAAAATAATTAAAAACCCCACATGCTGTTACCTTGAATGTACAATGCTTGGTAAAACATTCATAGCCTTATACAAATGTGAAGTTTGTTCACATTTTCATTCATCCTTTATCCTAAAATAAAATTCAGTGCAACCAATCACTCAGAAATCCCCTAACATGAAACCCACCAGAAAGGACAGCGGTAAAGTCGTGTGTAAAAAAGGGTTATAAATAGGTTATAACGCTATAAAACAAGACGTAAAGCTTTAAATATTTCACAGAGCACTGTACAAGCTGCGATCCAAACAACTGTAAATATACCCACCCCATTTCTGTTCACCCAAGCTGCCAAGTTGGACAAAGAGAGGCTTAATCAGAGAAGCAGCCAGGATGCCATTGGTAGCGATGAGCTGCTGAGAGCTACACCTCAGGTGCTTAAAGGACAATGATTAGCTGTGCAAAACAGCCTGGTCTTTGATGAAGAAGAACAAAGCCAGAGCAGTGTGAAGGATATACGTACTACAAACATGAGACCAAAATATTTTGCACATAAAACCTGGACATTCCTCAATATCTGTCTTAAAAAGGTTTTGCACATGAGCTGGCCAAACACCACCAATATAAACCTGCATTCTGCAAAAAATTAAGACACCACTGCAAAATCACCAGTTCTCCAATTTTACTCTTTACACGTATATTTTGAGTTAAATGCACATTGTTCTTTAATTTTATGAGCTACTGATAATATGTCTCCAAAATTCAGTGGAAATATTTAGTATTTATTTGCAGAAAATGAGAAATTGTCAAAATAACGAAAAAAGATGGTGCCCTTTCAGACCTCAAATAATGCAAAGAATACAAGTTCATATACATTTAGAAACAACAATACCAATGTTTTAACTCAGGAAGAGTTCAGAAATCAGTATTTAGTGGAATAACCATGAGGTTTTCAATGGGGTTCAGTGCAGTCTCTTATTTTTTTTTCCAGAGCTGTAAGTGGATGGACCTGCCAACTCATAGCAGAGGCAGAAATCAGGAAGAAAAGATGGTGCTGGGTAGGGCACACCCAAGACAAACAGCCAGCAAATATCACAGGCAGTGGAAACCCCACGGCAAGTAAAAGAGAGGAGGTCCAAGAAACATCTGGAGATGAGACTTCAAAACTATCAGCTACACCAGGAGCCAACTAGAACTTCTACCTAGCTGATGTTCCATCAAATAGATGTGCATCAAATCTACCTTTGGTGGCCCGTTTCCTGGTGGGGTGGAGAGCTCAGGGCAAAAATGATAAAAATACAATTTGTAGTGGACACCTAAAAACATACCATAACAATGGTGAAACAGTGTTGTGGCAGCACCATGCTGGGGATTTTCCTCTTGGGTTTTTTGGCAGAAGGATAGGGCAATGCACCCAGGGAGTCTTAGAAGCAAAAGATGTGCCGCTGAGGTTCAGTTTTCAGTAGGAAAAACCCTATGCATCCATCCAGAGCTCCAATGTAATTATGTGGATTAAAACATCTTGATGTGTTAGAACTGCAGTGAAAATTACAACTACAAGAACAGCTCAATACCAATGCACACAATCCTTTTCATATTTTAATTTAAAGGGGAAAAAACTGTGATAACCATGTATGACATTGCTTTCGTGTAACCATTAAACTTTGTGCTGGTCTAGCACATAAAAACCCAAGGTGAAGAAATATGGAAAAAGTTCAGATATAAATGCCTTTCCAAGGAACTGTGACACGTCATGATTGTGGCTACAGTTATCTGTCTGATGTGACAATGGACGTTACAGCACCGTACTTAACGACAAAATAATTATCTGCCATTAAGGTTTATGTCTGGGACCGAATGATGATCATACATGTACGTGTTGCAGCTGCCTGGCGAAATGCCAGACTCTAGAGAAAATAGACACGACAAGACGACATGTAGACGGTTACGCTGCATGGGAAACACAACACAACTATTTGTATATCAGCTGCAGAACAGTACGTGATACTAACATATATAATAATACACTGAAATGTCTATATTAGCTGAAGGTAAAAAAAAAAGAAGACAAAATTCAAAACAACAACTGCTGAATCAATGTGAATCTTAGGCAATGCACCAAATTTGTTTTAATTTTAATGTAAAGCAAATAGTGTGCAATCAAAAGCCTTGCTGCAACGCCAACATCTATCAGACACAGCTCCTGCACCTTACAGCCATCACCTGTTATATTCATACCTTCTGTAGCAGGCAGACCTTCAGCCGAGCAGCTAACAGCACAGCTCCCTAGGGTGGGAATCTCTTTTCCCTGTTTTTCAGTCTCCCTGCTGCTGAGGACAGCATCTGACTCTGCATATGTCTAATGGCGACTGCTCTCCCTCCCACCCAGACTCTTGTCCATTTTTTCTTCTCAGAATCCCTCCTTCCTTTTCTATTACTCTTTCTTCTTCTTCTTCTTGTGCAGTGAACGGCGGTAGGGAGGGGGAGGAGTGTGCAGGGTTTTTTTTTTTTTTTTTTAATATGTGTGATAGTTAGAGACCGAAGCACTGCATCTTTCTAGACAATTGTCCCACATGCAGAGTCAAACAGAAGCAAAAGGAAGAGATTGCTTGAAGAACACAGACAGGGAGGGAAAACGGAACAACAAGGGAGGGATCACAATCCTCATCATGCTGACTCAACCTAACAACCCTCAACTGTGTTTCTCCCTTTTATGTTTGTGGGCTCTAAAATAAAGAAATATTAATATTATTCTCACAACACTGTAGCCTGGAGTTTGCTCTGAGGCTGTGGCTGAACAGGAGAAAACAAGGGAGGAGGAAAAGCAGCAAGACAGACATTGCAGATTTTGCAGTTCACATAGAAACAGCCAAACTGGGATGATGGAAGCGCAGGGAGAGCGGTGCTGGTCGGATGATCCTGCTGCTGATGCTGGATAAGAATACAGAAATGGTAAAAACAAACAAACAAAAAAAGTTTAAAAAAAAAGAAAGAGATGAAGATGATTTTTAGAGCTATATTTTAGTTCCACGTCGTATTAGGAAATCAAATGATTGCAACACTGTGGAAATTGTGCCAAATTCACATTATCCTCTCTGTCTTATACGTCACTGCTTTGCTTCTAGCCGTCTCTGCGACCTTTAGTCCCTTTGGCGCTGTCATTTGTGTGAGGTGTGGTCAGCTACTGCAGTGACACCTCATCAAGCGAGCTCAGTAGAGTATGAATCTTAAACTACATGAAAAATCACTCAATATCTACTGAAATCAATCTGAAGGGTCAGTTCTTTACCTTCCCAAAAGAACAATTCCTTCACACACAGAGAAAGAAAAATGAGGGACTTTCATCTGCTTAAGGATTAAAGATTTACTAAAAATCAACACAAAGGTTGATCAACAATTCAAGTAAGACAAAGATTAATGAAAGAATGTCATGTATTATAATTAAACCTAATATCTACTCAAAATGATTAAAGTGAGCAAAGAACCAAACAATAAACATAAGGTGCTATATAAAGAACTTTGCTTTCTTGTCACATTTTAAATTTTTATGTTTCTATGAAATTTCAGAATACAATATTCACAATATTGTCTAATTTAAAAACATCACAAGTTTGTCAGTATCTCAGAGGCTCAAGGAAAACTGCCTTATGGTCTAATATTAGTATGAAGGAAAATATTATACATATTAAATTATCAATACTTAGAAATATGGATATTCATCAATTAATTCAGAATTTTCTGAATATGAACAGACAACACTATCAGACAAAACTATTTGAGCACACAATTAACAAAATCATACGTCCTTCCTCCAGGAATAAGAGTTTACTTCGACTCTGTCGATGGTTTTATTTAAAGCGCAGCTGCAGAAACGCTACTTTTTTAGCTCAAAGTTTAAATCTGAAAAATACAAAACTGAAAACAGATATAGCGTTCTGAACTCTATGTTGTGATATTAGCAGACCTAAAACAGGAAAAGATTAGACTGATATTCTGTGATTAAAAAAAAGTTTCTCGTTTTCTACAGATAGATAAAGTTATTATTAGAGACATTTGGAGGTTTTATTTCCTCCAGATTTTTGGTAAAAACAGCCCTGAACAATATTGTTATGAGCCTGACCCAAATCTGCTCATGGCTGCAGGCCAGTAATACACAAAAACCATCTGAGGGCATTTCTACATAAACAAGAAACTAACACCATCATCCTGTTACATTCATACAAAACTCTTTTTTAAGGTAGACTCCATAGAAAATCCATTTTTAGACATTTTAATATTGTTATGAGGAGTATTCCTGCACATTTCCCAGTTAAAACTTCCATATTTCTCCAGAATATTTTGATTCTTTCTCATTTTAATAACATTCTGGACATCTAAGGACTAAGTATTTCCCTAGTTTAGAGATGCTCAAGTTTTCTTTTGATTGTTTAGAGTGAAAAGCAGTTATTTCACAGTTTTTTTTTATTTTTTATTTTTGCTTCTGGGAAAGCTCAGGATGACTCGTTAAAGTTAGATATGAAATCTGGACAGGAACATTTTACGCTAAAGATTCTTAGAGATCATTTTGTGATCTTTGGTACCTTAAATCTGTTCTTCATAACTTAACTTATAAATATTTGTCAAATGTTATTGTGATTTTTATGAATGTAGATTTTTTTTAAATCTTCCAGACATAGGATAAAGTGTGGAAACTTTTTTTGTCTTTTATACACAACTTCCTTTTCTACCAAACCTGGAAAACCATAAAAGCAAATTTTATGTTTTTCCAGACTTTTCCCAAGACTGTGAAGGAACTTTTAGGTTTGTTTGAAACTTTCAAACAAATGTTGTCATATGTTGTCATGTTATGGCAACAGTTGAAAGGCATGACCAACGAGGTGCCTGTTTTTGGTTAACATTATCCTCTCTGTAGCCAAAATACTCCCACACAACCAACAGTGCTATTCTTTGTGTGATATATTACTTATTATTGTTTTTTTCTCCAAACTTCACTCATTGTAAAATGTGGAAACAAAGGATTATGTCACTCAAGATGGATTTGTGAAAAAAGTTGTTTTTCAACCAAAATCCCAATATATTAGGCGTCTTGAATATGCGTTGCCAATGCATATTAGAGTTATTTAACACAATATCTATGCATAATCAACAGAAACAATCTAAATATATGTAGTCGCAGAGTGCGGTGGGTTCAGGGATGACCGAAGACATTTAGTTGCCTGAAGAGATAATAAGGAAATAGAAAAACTTCCTCCACGTTTCTCTTCTTGTAAGGTCAAATAAAATCATCAGATGGCTTTACAGCGGCTCTCTTTACAACCAGCAATAAAAACTGATTGCAGAAATACTCTGTGTGAAACACATAAATAGAAAACTGGATGAGAAAGTAAGCTAATATCTGCCTAGTTGACGTAGGAACTTACAAGCGGGTTGGTTAAACAAAACCCATGACTCCATGTTGGACCGGCTCAATAAAGTCATATCAGAAATGATGAAGCGAGGCAAACACAAAAGGAGCAACTGGAGGCCAACCAGAGGTGATGTAATACTATCCAGGTTATTCATTAACTCCCAGCATACGTCATCTGTGTCCAAAGCCTTGGTTCTGCTGATAAAAGCCCACACTCGTAGAGTCGCACAATGACAGACCTGACTTGTTTGTTTAGACTGCAAACAATGACATCATGAGAGCATTTCATGGCCTCCAGGCTCTGTCATGGAGTCAAATCTGTGTTAACAAGCCGTTTCTCTTTTGAGAGAATGTAGGCCTATCATTTACACTTTGAAAAGAGTAACTATAACAACGCACGGTGCACCTATTCAGCCCACCAACACTGACCTGCTTGCTGCTGTGCATGCATCGATAAGAGTAAAGACATTGCTAAATTACTGCAGTTTTTGCAATAATTTCACATTTTTTGAGAGTAAGTTTATTGCAACACGACATGCTTGCAAGAAAGATTGATTTCATCTAGAGTTTCATTAAAACGTGTATCAATGCTTTTGCAATACTGAATTAATGCTTGCAGAATGTACTAATCTGTTATAATCTCTCTTTGAAACTCAAGGCCTGTTTTGAGTTATGAAAAAATAGGGAGAGAAAGGAGCGAAAAACTTTCATAAAGCCAAATTTAAGTTAATAAAAATATATAAAAAACATTAATCTGTCATACAGTATCATCAATTTCTGTACAGAAAACAATTTTATCTTTACACCCAAAACAGAAAGTAACACAAATTAATAAAGAATGGTTAAAGAAATAAAGTGTTACTAAATTATAATGATTATTCATGATATTTTGCTTATCATTTTATCTTCAGATGAATCTGGTAATTAATAATACTTCACAAGTGGAAATGTAGAGCTCAAGAGAATTAATATAAGCAAGCAAGTAAAGAAATAAATAAACTAATGCATTCAAGTTATAAAAACACATTATAATATTCTGTTCATAACCTAGGACATTAGGTCCATCTTAACTTTAATTCTTTAATTAATAACTTATAAACTGTTTTCTTGGCCATGAGAGTGGAAGAAAACTTTAAAACCCCAAATTTGAAATCGAGTAATATTGAAGGGTGTAAATATATATAAACAAAACTGTTAAAAATTTCATAACATTTCCTACTTTTCTGTCGATAAAATCAGCTTACATTTACATACATTTTATAGTTTGGAAAAAGTGGGGGGAAAAAAGAGAAAAAACTCCTAGTAACTTCCTAATATTTTTTTGTTATTTTATTTAAAAATATATAATTTTATCAACAATGATAATGTCTTACATCCGGAATTCCTGATGCTACACATATTTCTTCTGGAGTATTTTGCAGCAAATGTAAACAATGCGTATTAGAAAAAGGCTTTAGAAAAGAGGAGTCTGCTTTGATAAGCTACCAGTGGTGAATGCTTGCTGCTGCCACAGTGATCATGTAATTTAGAAAAATCAATTCCTGGCTGGTCCTGCTGGAGGAGATCATCGCCATGATGATGTAAACAACAAATTCAGATATAAAGCCCTCTGGTGTCCTCTGATCAATACTCTCCCAGTGAGGTAGCAGGAAATAGCAGGGTCATATAACAAACCAGGACAACCCCCAGACTTCAACATGACAACTATTACGACATGAATACTGATACAAACGATTCCCGGCTAAGGCTTGACACTAAGTCTACACACCATGTAATCTGATGAACACAAATGTGGGAAGGAGCTCTAAAGGAACAGATTGCTCTAGATAGAGTCAACAATAGAGGGTTGGGGCGCACAAAGACTCTGTCTGTGTGACAGCGTTAATAACAGTGATGGAGGGTGTGCGGTCACAGCGCTCTATAATAAACCGACCCATATTAGAGAGAGTATAAAATGCGTGAAAGGCTATTTTCTTTACACAGCTAGATTGAATCATTATTAGAGACAAGGTGTGCGGTCATCAATGGGTTTAAAGGTTGGTGTGTGTCAATGGGAAGCCTGCGTTGTTGTTATGACGCGGAGAAATGTCCGCGTGCGACAATTCACCGCTCCATTGATGACGAGAAACAGCTCGCATAATTCAAAATTAACGACAAAAACAAAACAAAACAAAACAAAAGTACGTACCTTATGCTGATGAAAGGGGTAAACTACAGCGTGTTCATCACGGGACAAGAATCGATAACCTGAACCTGGACGGATTTAATTCCCATAATAAGACGTGCGCGCACATGACGGATCGGACTGGGGAGGGGGGTTAGGGTGCGCGCGCTTCACGGACTCACTGCAGCAGCAGTGTTGAGCCAAAGCAGCCGCTGCTAATGTCATGAAAGCAACCCACTAATCTTAAGACACACACGCACACGAACACTCACCTCGACCTCCACGCGTTCTCTGTGTGTTATTGAGCTGGCCTCCATGGGTGAGGGGTCAACCGCGGCGTCTTCATGGGTGTTTACCTGGCGGTGTTGTCGTGGGAGTTACAGTAGCCTCACACAGCTGACAGGCAGAGGAGGGTGACAGCGCCAGGAACTAAAACCCAGGCTGACGGAGCATCAGACGTCTCCTTCAGACTAGGAGCAGAGTGCGGATGGTGGCAGGTTAAAGACGCTCCGCCGGGCCAGCTACAGGCTAAAGCGGTTAATGTGTATGTGTACGTTGAGGAGGAGGAAGGGGTTCAGGTACAGGAGGTGCACTTTAGCACTTTCATGAACTAAAGCGATGAGGTCATGGTTCATGAGGGAGAGGAGTGGAAAAAACAGAAAAAGCATTAGTTGACGTCACCTCCAGCCAATCAGCGCCGGTGGTTTGGGGTTAGCGTGACGTCAGCTCCTGGCTCATGGATTAAAGGGACAATTACGTCTTTTTTTGTTGTTACTTAAAGCAGACTTCATCAAATTTAAAAGAAAAGGCATAATTGCAATTTACGTTTGCAATGTAATAATTAAGTCTTTGCAGCATTGACATATAAATATCTTTAAATTAAGCCTCAGACATTTCTAGACCCCACACAGTCATGTTTGTAATCTTTTTGCCCGGTGGTGGCTTTTGCATATTGCCACCATTCTCCAATTACAAAGTGTCAGAATCCAATATATTGCTATGTTGCAATTAAAATATATGTTTTTTATGGTAAATTAAAACAAAAAGCAAATGCATTAAGTTACATTGTTAAATGTAATCTAGCAAACTAAATTTGTGAAATTACAGTTTAATGTATTAATTACAGTTACATATAGATTATTGTATATATAAATGCATATTTATCTAATTATTTATTCAACATATTGTAGCTCTTAATCCACCATTCTCAAAAAAGGCACTTATCAAAAACATGAACTAAAAAAAACAGCATGGTAAAAATGAATATAACTTAATGGATATTTTGCAAACATTTTGGAAAGAAAACTGAGAAAGTCTTTTTGCAGGAGCATAACAGAAATCACAAACTGTGTTACAAAGGCTATCGATGCAGAATAATATAGTCCTTTAAGGAGATACTTGCCTCCGTCTATGGTGGTCCAAAAGCATTGAAAATGTTCATGTTTATAGTTTGACAGATAGATATAGTTTTGAAAAATGTATTGCTTGGCTTAATGAATCTTTGTTTGGTGTGAGATTATTTGGTTGAGGTTGGACCGTCTAAATGAATGACTTAACGAATATTAATCCCAGATTCTAAATAAGAATCTGCTGCAGACAAATGCAGGTCAAACTCAATAGGGACACAGAAATAATCTTTTAACTAGGCCAACAAATATTGATGTACACTTCTTATGCCATCTTCAATATTACCAATATTACCAGTCATCATTGGTATACAGCAATATATGGCACTTAAATAACTTGTTTTAGTCTTGCCGTGGCCATGTAATTGGGTAGAAACCCATTTACCCATATCAAAAACGACCAGTGAACCCAGTTCTTTTCATCAAAACAACACTAAAACACACTTTTTCAGAGAGTTTCACAAGCATTGAAACCGTAACTTAGGATCTATGTTTATTATGTTTTCCTTAATGCCTTAATGATGGTTCTTGTTTAAATGGCACTCTGGTCAAGCCACCTTCTCCTTCTGTTTAGGCTACACCCAAATACACAATCACTTATGCTCTTTCTGGAAAATAATAATAAAAAAGCCTTTATTTTATGCAATGTATCAAAACTCTAAGGGTTAAAATATGAGATTTAACTAATGTAAGTCAGTGATTATTTAGCCTTTTATATAACAAGTACCACCTCAGTACCAACTCTTTTAAAAATAACCCAGTACTGGCAGAATATCAGCACTTGGGATTTTTCTTTTTTTTTTATATTCTGTAAAAAAAAAAACAAAAACAAAAAAAAAGGAATTTAATTGAATATAAGCTTTCCTTCAATTAATCAGTTCATAAACTTAAAAAACATGAAAAAGGAAATAAAATACTTTGTCAGCACTGTGTCTGGACAGGGAAACAAAAATAAATGCCGGTCATCTGTTTCATAACAAGTACCGAAAGATTAAATTAAATGTAATTTTTTTTCTTCGCCTTTTCTCTGCTTCATTATGACTTTTATCAACAGTTTAAAGGGCTGTGAGCCAAAGGCAAGGTGAGCAAATACTGACATCTAGTGGCCACGTTGTGAAAACACAACGTGAGTCGGACTTCAACAACATGCTTACAGGCAGACGTAAAAGACAAAACCACAGCGCAAAATTAACGTGAACCCAGAGACCTCAAAGAGACACCAAGACCAATTCATGAAAATCTACTTTTATTTGGATGCAAAAACTCACAACTTAAAGCAATACTTTAGCAGAGGAGAGGAATACTGATTGCTGGTTATTGTATGTGTGACTGGCTGTTTTTGTCATCTTCATCTGAAACATTAGAAGAGGACAATTGAAGCACTGGTAACAAACACTCAAAAGAAAAGCTGCTGGGTCGAGGACACTGAACATTATCAGAGGACCATGTCAGAGCCCTGGCAATAGATTGTGGCATTTGTTGTCAGTCTCAGTCCAGTGTTGTTTTACTAACAATTTTGGCAGTTTAATCCTCCTTGTTGAGTTTGTGTTTAGTTGTGGGTCAGAACCCACACAGGTAATTTTTTAAGGTCCTCTGATAATGTTCACAGCCATAGAAGTTGTTGGATTTTTTGTTACATAGAAAACTATCTGCACTGTTTTAGCTGCCTTGCACATAGCATTTATTTCTCAACTGTGTTGTCAACTGAGAGTGGTCTAGATTCACAGATGGAAACAGGGACTGTGTAAAAACTCAGTCTGAGGTAAAATTCTCCAAGAAAAACAATAAAAACATACACAGAAAGCAAAGCAAAGCCTAAAGGCCTAAAGTAATAGTAATACTCAAGACTGAACATAATATATATATTTACTTTACTGTAAGGTAACTTAGGTAGTTGTCACATTTTGTTCTCTTAAATCTTGCAATATAAACCAATGGTTTTGATCCACAGTATGAGCTACATTCCATTATGTTGTAAACAGAAATATACACAAGGCATCTACTCGAAAGGATTGTATCAAAATGTTCTAAAAATATCTCTGGTTGGTTTCACAAAAGCAAACTGTATCAAAAGCATTGGCTGAGAGCAAGCAATAATAATAATAATAATAATAATAATAATAATAATAATAATAATAATAATAGGCTTTTACCTTTTTTTCACACAACGAAAAGCGGGACAACCAATCACGTCGCTTTGATTGTGGACCCTACTGAGTCCCATACGGCACATGCAATCCATTAAACTCAACACAATCAAAAACACAATACAGAAAAATAAGCTTTACAGCTGAACATCAGAGAGACAACCTTAGTTGGTCTATTGTGCTTCATACAGATTAGGCCTGGCCTGTCTATACAACAATCATGAGCTTTGTCACCTCACAGATGCGTTCAAGCTACTGTTGTAAGCAGAGGCATCACAGAGCAGAAGGACGACAAACTTTATGGAACAATTCTGACGAGAGTGATATGAAAACAAACCGAATGTCACCGCCCTCCACGTTGTTGCTTTTCTCTGCGAGATCGCCCGTTTCCGTGCTGCCGTTCGCGTTTTTGGGATTCTGTTTCTGGCTTTTGCCACTTTTGCTGTGGCTCTGTGACGCCTCTGAGGGAACATTTAGGATGTTGTTTTCTGTAAACACCGCGGGCCATGAGAACTGCCACACGCAGCCTGGACTAAAAAAAAAAAAACGTAAATACTTTAGTTTGCACAGAAACCCTAATTAGCCTAACTTTTACATTCCTATGTTCCATAACATTGCACATGCCTTTAACGAATACTTAGCACCATGCAACCTGAAAATGAGGTGACTCAGACCTTCTGCAATGTTTTTTTTTTTTTTTTTTACATTAAAGGAGAGTCAGTGAGAAAAAAGCTAGATGTTGGTTAACATTTTACATCAATATAGTGGTACATATTAGGCTGGTATTCGATTATCTCTGTAGGATTCAATTATGCTGGCACTTATACTGTAAAGGGCCCTTATTTTAATCACTAACTTTCTTAGAGTGAATTTTCTTAAAGCAAACTCTAGTGCGAGAGATCTGAGAATGCCTTACTTCTACTATAACCTTTTGATAGCTGTACAATCATTACATAATGGAGCTATTTCAGACCAAGACTGAAACAAGGCCTTGACAACTCAGACCTCTGAGAGTCAGTGTGATGCAAAGTCTCAGCAGCACGAATGAAGCAACACAGGGACCATGGGCTTGGATTCGAACAGGCCTGCTGGATAGATGTTAAAACAGTTTTCAATGAGGATTTTTCAGTCATGCCTCTATTCCACCCCTTTGTTGGTTCTGTACAGCAACATTAAGCACGATCCCATATGAACGAGCCTGGTTTGGGTGAAGAGATCGACATGGTTTGGGTTGTTAAAGGGTGAGATTGTGTGACAATGCTAGGTAAGGTGGTGCATACCACCACAGGTGGCACGGTGTACAGTGGTGTGTCTCGGTCTGGGTGTGCGGCTGTTGTGCTCACGTTATTCTTCAGCGGAGCGAGACAGCTGCTTCTCATACAGGCTGAGGACATGATGCACAAACTGGTACTGCTCACAGGTCTGGATCATTCCACCTCTGACAAACATACAGAAGGACGATGGAAAAAGAAATTGGTCTTTGCATCTGTAGATGGTAAATATTACCAAAGATCTTGAATAGTAACGTTATAATATCGATGCTACTGAGTGTTGATATTTTCACAGTTATTAGTGAGTTATCGATGGTTGGGGTGTGCACTCTGATTTCAATGTTCTATATTTGAAAAACACCTTATCCTTGTTTGCGTAGTGCATCGCGAACTAATACATTCCTCTAGACATTTTTTTAAACATTTTTTTCATGTTGCAATCAGGATTCAAGGTATTTTATTGGCATTATAGATGACAAATATAGATAAATGGTGGAATTTTTAACCGAAGCACAGGTGAGATAACATTCTTTTAAAACCGAAAGATGTTGATTAAATTAACAACAATTCCTACTCTATTCAAGGGCATTATCTGTAAAACCCCATGAGGTTTTGTCTTGTGTGTTGGAGCTAAATAAAGTAAATAACTGTGAGGCTTGACCTTGCAAGCAGAACTATAAACAGACATGAGTAGAAGAATGGAGACAAAAGCTTGTCTCACCTGTCCAGACGGAGCTGGCAGGTGGCTCGCAGGATGTCAACCACACCCTCAGTCCTCAGCTGCTTGCACAGGA